CTATCAGTAGAATACTGTATATGGTATATGAACATAGTGGAATATTGGTCATTCAACATTTGATTAAATATTGAAAATATCTGTTAATATTTATCTATACACCAGACATTGTTTTGAGTGTTGAGGACATGTCAGTGAGCAAAACAAAGATTTCTTACCTTCATGGAACCCACATGCTGGCTTACATGCCACATGCTATGAAGCTGTAAAAGGGCTGCATATGTAAGGATCCATATGTGAGGATATGGGACTATATAGGAAAACTTTAGTGGCACAAAAGGTTAAGCATTCAGCTACTAATTGAAAGATTGGTGGTTAGAATCCGCCCAGAGGTGCCTCAGAAGAAATGTCTAGAGATATACTTCCAAGAGATCACCAAAACCAAACCAAACTCACTGCCATCAAGTTGATCCAACTCATACTGACCCCGCCTTGGGTTTCTGAGGTGGTATCTCTATGGGAGTAGATTGCCCGATCTTCCTTCTGAGGAGTGGCTGGTGGGTTTGAACTACTAGCCTTCTGGTTATCAGTCAAATGTCTTAGGCGCTACACCATTAGAGCTCCTCAAAAGATCACAACCGTTGAAAATCCTACAGAGCACAATTCTACTCTGACAAACATGGGATTGCCATGAGTTAGAGTCGATTCCATGGCAACTGGTTTGGTTTGGTTTTTTTGCCAAGCTATATTAAATGAAAAAAGCCAGGTACAGAGCAGAGCATATATGTGCAACCACTTGTGTAAAATATTTCTTTCTGTTTGTATAAAATTTTTCTGGAAGAATTCATGAGTACCTGTAAGAGTAACGTCTCTGGGAAGGAGCACTAAGGAAGGGACAAAGGATCAGGTTTGGGAGGGAAGAGTTACTTTTCCCTGTTTGTAAAGTTTGAATTTTAACCCTGTACTTATCTTACCTAAAAATGAAAAATAAAACAAAATACTGAAATATGAGGACTTTTCCTCCTCCAGGAGCCTTCAAACTCTTTTTTTAATCTTTTAGACAAGGGTTTCTCAACCCTGGCATTATTGACATTTGGGGCTGGATAATTCTTTGTTTCAGGGGGCTCTCCTATCTGTTGTTGGATATTTATCACCATCCTTGGTCTCCACCTATGAGATGCCAGTAGCACCCTCACCTTAGTTGTGACAACCAAAAATGTCTCCAGACATTGCAAAATTCCATGGGGGCAAAGTCACCCCCAGATGAGAGTCATTGCCGTAGACGACCAGTGGAGAAGGAGAGTGAGAATACCATTACCACTGCACAGGTAAGAAAGTTGAGGCCTAAAGATATTTTAATTGTATGCCTCATATTTCATTGTTATCTATTCATTTATAATTTTAGATACACAGTGCTCTACAGTACTTAAGTCCTGGGTGGTACCAGTGGTTAAGTGCTTGACTAGTAGCTGAGGTTGGTGGTTCAAACCCATTCAGAGGCACTTCAGAAGACAGGCTTGGTGATCTGCTTCTGAAAGGTCACAGCCTTGAGAAGTTCTGCTTTGCGCATGTGGGGTTGCCACGAGTTGCAATTGACTCGATGGCAACTAACAACAACTACAGTGCTTTCCTAGCTTTTAAGCAATGAATATATAAATGGATATATAGAAGCAGAATAAATATAGTTGCTTTTTTAAGTTTGAAGATATCTATTGATCAACTTCTGGTAATGGTTTGCTGTGTTAAATTTTGCTAGAGATGTGGATATTAAACTTTTATCCTTATATAACATAACAACCACTTTTTAAATGAATGAAATAATTTTTATCAAGATTTGAGGGGAAAACTCACCAACTGGTTACTTGACATACTTGACATTTTGAAAAATCTCATCAAACATGTTGAAATAGCATATTTCTTACTTTGTTCAAAATGTACATTTTGCCCCCAAATTTGGAGTTTTCTGGTTTTGTTTTTCCAGTATGATTTTATTCATGTTGAGAGGGCAGGACTAAGCCCCATACTTCTTTTGTATCCCATGGTGTCTAGATGGATCCCTGAATAGTTTTTAAATAAAGGCACCACAGCAGGGTTTGGAGTGAGTGAAGAAAAGGATCTGGGACACAAATGGAAGAAGATGGAGACTGCTTTCAGGCTTGGGGTTTGAAAACACAAACGCCAAGCCTGCACTGCAGAACAGCCTCTGAACTGCTTGATTTGGCAGCTTACCAAGGGAACAAGGGAGGCAGGTTGTGGTTTTGGTCAGGGAGGGCTGTGTGTTCTTTTCCCAGACCCTCCCTATCTCTGGTGTGTAGTAGTTAAGGGATTTGGTTGCTAACCAAAAGGTCAGTGGTTTGAACCCATTAGCTGCTCAGCGGAAGAAAGATGGGGCAGTCTGTTTCCGCTAGGATTCACAGCCTTGGAAATCAGTGGGGGTTGCTATGAGTCGGAATCGACTTGATGGCAGTGAATTTGGTTTTGTTCTCCTGATCTCTTGGGTTTAGTGTGGTGGGATTGACAGACCAATACACAGACAATAGCACATCAGTGTGATTTGCACCATGATGAAGGTGGCAAAGGATGCCCTGGAAACCCTGAAAAGGGCATCAGGGAAGACTTTCTGGAGTCCTAAAGGCCAAATCTCAGATACATCAAGTTTGTGCCCATTTTTTCCCTTTCACCTTCACATGACTGCCTCCTTACCCTTCTGTTCTCACAGTTCAAATGTCACTTCTTCAGGAAGGTCTTCCCTGCCCATCCTGTGGGAAGTATACCCTCAGTCACTCCCAGTTTTATTTTCTTCATAGCACCTCTCAGTCTTGTTTATATACCTGTCTACTTGCTGGTTGCCCATTGTTTTCCTCCAGAATATGACTTTATAAGAACATCTTGTTCCTTGCTGTGTCTCCAGTCCCTGGGCCCGGACTGAATAATCAACATTTGTTGTTGAGTGAAGAAATTTCCCACATGGATGAGGGCAGAGTTGAGGTGTAAGTAGGGGGAGGGCATCTCCAGAATGCATTGGGGAGGTCAAGGCAGATAAGGACTGAAGAGGGGCCTGTGGCTTTGGCACTAAGGTGGGGGAAGGAGGACAGGAAGTGGTTGGGGTGGCCTGACTTGCAAATGGTAGGAGGGGAAATCTAGACAACTCTCTGGAGAAGTCTGAGAAAGGGAGGAGATGTAGAGTGGAAACTAGAGGGGAAACCCAGTTGATGCAGTGGCATTATCAGTATTTTATTTTTAATTTTTATTGTGGTGAAATATAAACAAAAAACACTTGCTATTTCAATCATTTTTATGTGTAATTCAATGACTTTAATTCCATTCACCATGTTGTACAACCATCCTCACTATCTGCTTCCAAATTTTTTCAACACCCTTAACAAAAACCCTAGATACATCTCATCTTCCTCTCCCACCCACCTCCTGGTAACCACTAATAAACATCTGTCTCTGTGCACTTGCCAATTCTAGATAGTTCATATAAGTGGGATCATACAATATTTGTCTTTTTGTATCCGACTTACTTCACTCAGCATAATGTTTTCAGAGTTCATCCATGTTGTACCATGCACCAGAACTTTATTTCTCTTTGACTGAGTGATAATCCATTGTGTGGATATACCACATTTTATTGATCCATTCACCTGTTGATGGACACTTGGGTTGTTTCCACCTTTTGGCTATTGTGAATAATGCTGCAGTGAACACTGTTGCACACGTATCTGTTTGAGTCCCAGCTTAATTTTGGTTATATACCTAGGAGTGGAATTGCTGGGTCATAAGGTAGTTCTGTGTTTAACTTTTTGAGAAACCACCTCAGCAATGGATGAGGGTTCCAATTTCTTTACAGCCTTGCCAACATTTATTTTAAAATCCCTTTATTTAAAAATCATAGTCATCCTAGTGGAGTGTAGTAGTATCTCACTCACTGTATTTTCATTGCCCTAATGACTAAAGATGAGCTTTGTTCCATGTGCTTATTGGCCATTTGCATATCTTCTTTGGTGAAATGTTTACTCAAATCCTGTACCTATTTTTTTAAATTGAGTTGTTTGTATTTTTGTTGCTGAGTTGTAGTTCTTTACATATTCTGGATATTAAACTCTTATTCAATATAGGGTTCCCAATCTGTAGCCTATCTCTTCACTTTGTTGATAAAATCCTTTGATGCACAAAAGTTTTTTATTTTGATGAAGTCCAATTTGTCTATTTTGTCTTTTGTTGGTCATGTTTTTCGTATCATATCCATGAGTCCGTTATTGAAAACTAGGTCTCAAAGCATTAGTCCTGTGTTTTGTTCTAAGAGTTTTATGGCTTTAGTTCTTACACTGAGGTCGTTAATCCATTTTGAGTTAATTTTTTTATACAGCGTGAGGTATGGTTCCAACTTCATTCTTTTGCATGTGGAGATCCAGTTGTTTCAATACCATTTATTGAGACTACTTTTTCCCCCTTGGATGGACTTAGCAACCTTGTCAAAAATCAATTGACCATAGATATATAGGCTTTTATCAGTATTTTTAATAGGAGGGAGACAAGAATTTTTTTAGACTGGGTTGGAAGCCAATGAAGACCAACGACAGAGGAGGATACATTGAGCAAAGTCCTTGGGGAGGCAGGATTGGAGGGGACCACAGAACCCTGGTGGAAGCATTGTCTCTGACTGCCAGCCAATAGATGAACGGGTGACAGTTACATATGCTTATTGTGTGGAGGTGGGGTGGGGTGGTGGGTAGTCATGGTCTGAATTGTCCCTGTCACAGCAAGGCCAGTGGCTGTTAGGTGTGGAGAAAAATGGGAGATAGTTGGGTAGGGGCTAGGAGTGTTGTTGTTGTTGTTATTTGCCGTCGAGTCGGCCCCGACTCATAGCGACCCCTCCATGGGTTTCCGAGGCAGTATCACTACGGAAGTAGGATTGCCCAACCTTCCTTCCAAGGAGTGGCTAGGAGTAGAACAGTGAATGTAATTAGGGAAGGAAGTAGTTGAGGTTAGAGGGGCTGCTGGCCGAGAAGAAGAGGAATATAATAAGGCACTGAGGAAGAATACATAGTGTGATTATGAGGGTGCAGAAAAGGTGAGAAGGACAGCAGAGTCTGGTCAGGGAGTGGGCCATCTGATTTTCAGATTTCAGAGATGGGGCAGTTCTGAAGGATGACACAGCCTCGGGTGTGAGCTTGAGAGCTGTGGCTGAGGTGGAGTGAAAGGTCACTGGAAAGGAGGTCAAGGAACTGAGTGGTCATGTGCTACAGGTGTCCCCCAGAAGGTCAGCAGGGCTTAGGGTGGAGAAGGAGTCAGAAGTGAGTTTCAGGGAATGAGGGAAAATGCATGGGAGGTTGGAAGATAACCACAGCTGGAAATGGGAGTCAGTGTGTGAGCCTCCGAGGGCACAGTGACTGCACCAAGGCTACCCAAGAGGAGGAAGATGTCCACAACTGTCCTGAGGGACAAGAAGGAGCTCCTCAGAGCAAGTCCAAGTTTAGAAAAAGCAGAGCTGGAGGCAGTAGCATTCCTTGAGGAGACTCCTGAGAGGTCAGGGGTAGGAGAGCTGGAAGCCAGAGTCAGGGTGGGGGCCAAGGGAGGATAGATGGCTGGTATTTGGAGTGAAGGCTGGACTGGGATGTGCAGCTGAAGTTGGCCGGCCTCCAGGCTCCCAAGGGGCCCTGTTGAGAGTCTGTGGGCACTGACCTGGGCGAGGCCGCAGAGTCCCCTGTCTGTGGGTCAAGCACTGTGCTCCCTTCAAGGCAAACATTCACTTGGGAAAAAGTCCAGAGACGAGGAATTATGAGAAACAATCTCACGTGGGAAATGGCTATGCATCCAGGGAAGGGCCCCCGGCCTATCTCCGGAGTTGGCTTCAGAGCAGAACCTACCTCCAGATCCCTGGAATCCTTGCTGCTCAGTTGAGTGACCCTAGGACCCTTTGGAAGCTTCTGTGTCCTCCAAGTCCTTTTCCGTGTCTGGCCACAGAGAGTACAAGGAAGGGTGCCTCAGTTCAGGGACAAAGCAGAAATTCCAGAAATCCCAGAATCCTGGGGGACCTCGGAGGGCCTACAATGGGAGGGCTCAGCCTGGCTACGCCGCCAGAGGGCTCACTCGGCCAAACCGGCTGTTGGGCGTCCGTCGGGGGGCGCTGTCCTTGTCCTGCCCTGTGCCCCGCCCTGCGCGCGGTGGGCGGCTGGCGGGGCTGGAGGGGCGGGTTGAGGCTTGGCCTGGGAGGGAGCACCAGCCCGGGGGGCGGGGGAAGGAACCCGAGGGGCGGGGCGGGGCCCGAGCCGGCCACCGCGTTCCCTCCCTCCCTTTCTTTCTTTCTCTCCTCTAGGTTCTCTTGTCTTTTCTTTGCCTCTGCTGCGGGCCGAGGGGGCGGGCCCTGCAGCCTTTGTTGCCGGCGGACCTAGCACAGCCGCCTGCTCCTTTAGAGTACGCCGAGGGCTGCTGCACGCGGCCAGGCATGTCTTGACCAGAATTCGGGACCGGGCAGTGATCGGACGGGACGGACGAGAGTGTGCGCACGGGATCTGGCCCCAACCATGCACGGCGGCCCAAGTCCCCGTAGCCCCGAGCCGCTGCTGCGCCCCCTCCTCCTGCTGCTCTGCGCTTTGGCGCCCGGCGCCCTAGGACCCGCACCAGGTGGGTGGCCGCCCCTTTCCAGCCGGCCCTGCCACCCCTCCCCGCTTTCCAGCCTCGGTTTACCGGGTCTCAACTCTGCAGACCCCTCGCCGGCCTGGCTCTACCTGGAGCTGGTCGTGCCCTCTTAATATTAGGGACCAGGGAGAGGACGAGGGAGCGAAACTGCGCCGCCGGGGTATCTTCCCCAGCCGCGGACTCCGCAGTTGACCCTGCACATAGCCTTGAATAGCCCCTTCCGCTCTTCGGACTTAAGTTTCCACACTTTATCCACAGTAAAGCGCGCCTTTCCCGGGTTGTCCTTGTCGGAGGGGCTGGACAGAGCGCAGTTTATCACCCTCCTCAGCTTGCCCCGTCTGGAAAAAGACCTGGCCAGCACGCTGAGGGTGAGGGTGCCAGGTTGCAGATCTACACGGGTCTCTGTCGCGTCCCCGTCGCCCTGCCGCGCCCGGGACCCCCGCCCACAGCAGCCTGGCTGTGGGCCTGCGCTCTGGGGCGCTGAGGGTCGGGTCTCCAGCTGCCCTTGCACTTCCTGCCTCCTCCTCCCCCAATTGTGAAGGCGTGGGGAATGGAGCTGGGAGCGGGAGCTTCTTTCCGCGGCCCTCGGCTGGGCTCTCCCCACCCCGCCTGGCCGTCCGGCCTCGAACGAGCCTCTGGCCTGCGTCCAAATTTATGCTCAGCCGCCGCGGGCCGGGCCGCTGTGCTCCTGGCGCGTCCTGGGCAGCCGGCCTGAGAATTTAGAAGCCCGTGGTGTACGAAGCTCTTGGCTCGGTGCTTAGAGAGCTCCAGTGATGGGGCCAACCTGCAGTTGGGAGAGCCGTGCAAACGGAATGGTAGGGAAGACTTTGTAAAGGAGAAGGGGCCTGAGGTTGAGGGGCTGGAAGGGTGGCATAGTGGCTAAAACGCTCGGCTACAAACCAGAAGGTCAGGAGTTCAAACCCACCAGCCACTTCAGGGAAGATAGATGGGGCGGTCTGCTTCTGTAAAGATTTACAGCCCTGGAAACCCTATGGGGCAGTTCTTTTTTGTCCTATAAAGTATCTATGAGTCGGAATCGACCGACCGCTGGAAAGGATGTGGAGGGGCTGAGGGCGTCCCGCTGGACTGGATTGGGCTGTGTATGGGGAAATAGGAAGACCTGCCTCCATAGTAGAGAGATGTGGCTGTGAGGTTAGAAAACTTATGGGCTGGAGTGTAGGGGACATTTAGACTGGAGTTTAGAGGAATGAGGAGCTGTTGAAGGGAGTGATGAAAGCTGTGTTTTAGGGAGGGTCAGTCTAGCAGTAAAAAGATCTCTGGTGATGTAGTGGTTAAGGCATTTGGCTGGTAACCAAAAGTTTGGTGGTTCAAACCCACCAGCTTCTCGGCGGAAGAAAGATGGGACAGTCTGCTTCTGTAAGGATTTACAGTCTTGGAAACCCAGTGGGGGTCACTATACGTCGGAATCGACTGGATGGCAGTGAGTTTGGTTTTTTGGAGTCTAGGGAGCTCTGGTGGCATAGTGCCTAAGGCATTTGACTGCTAACCAGAAGGCTGGCGCTTCAAACCCACCCAGCCACTCCTTGGAAGGCAGGTTGGGCAATCTACTTCCATAGTAATACCACCTCGGAAACCCAAAGAGGGGTCTCTATGAGTCAGATCCAACTCAATGGTAGTGAAGTTTTTTTTTTTTTTTTTTTTTTAGCAGCAAAGTGGAGTGGGAGCAAACATTTAATGAATACTTACTGTATGCCAAGAATCCCTGGATGGTGCAAAGCTGCTAACAGAAAGGTTGGAAGTTGGAGTTGGAAGAAAGTCCTGGGGATCTATTTCCAAAATATTAGCCACTGGGAAACCTAACAGGAGAGTTGTATTCTGACCACATAGTTCCCCAGGAGTTGGGGTCCGCTCTTTGTGCAACTGGTGTTTTTACTATATGCCAGCCTCATTACTTTCTTATTTCTCATCATCTTCATAACAACCCTGCAAGGCAGGTGATGGAAAGTCCTTTTGTGGATGAAGAAACTGATTCAGAGAGGAGAATGACCTGCTAGGTCTGTGGTCAGAAGCCTCTCTGCTTGTTTCATGTATAAGCTTGACCAACCTCCTGCCCTTCTAGGGCTTCAGTTTGCCCACTCACTAAATAGGGATAATAATACTGTCTACCTCATAGGGTTCTTGTGGGGATTAAATGAGATACTGAATATCAGTTACTTAGCATAGGACAGAGTGATCACCATGTGGTGGCCATTTATTTTGATTAATCTGCCAAGTTGACCTCATAAGATTAAGGAATACTTGATGGGTCCTGCAACTTGGACCTGCAGATATTTCTTCCAATATAATTTGGGGGCCGTCTCATCAGGGCAGGGTGTCTATCTCAAATATCCCTGGAGCTGTGTAGCCTGGGCCCTTTTCCTTCTGCTCTTAGGATCCCCCCACTGAAAGGCTGCGGAGCTCTGTTACTTTCTTTATAGCTGCCCCAGCTTCATGTGTCACACATACACATACTTTTTCTCCTTGGCATGAGCTTCAGGTCATTTGAAGGGCTGGATTGTAACTCAGATTCTTGATAGGGAGGTGAGGGTAAATACCATGTTGGCATTTCTCTGGTGGAATCTCCATAGTGACAGTTCTGTCACTCTTGAGTGATATTCAAAGTATTTAACACCCAGTGTGGCAGGAGCTCAGTCAGAACAGATCTCCTGACTTGGTGAAACAGGCTCAACCATATAGTAATTGGCACTCTAGCCCAATGGCTCCTGCTCCCATCCCACTGTAGGTTTAACTTTGCAGGTTCAGCTCTGATGCAGATAGATCCTTATCAGACTGGAACCTGCAATTTCCCCTTGCTGTCACTAGGTGGTGGTCGTTTTGACCAATAAGATCTCTACCAGAGGTCAGCTGTTGGAGAAACTGAGAGGATGTGTTTTTTGTTTTTAATTTATCTTGCCCGCCATTAAAAATATTTTAACTATCTTAACATACTCTCCTTGTCAAACCACATGTGTTTGAGGGCACTGCTGTGGCACATGGGGAAATGTGCTGTGTGGCTCCTCTTCCTCTAGTACATTGAGAACTTTGGGTTGGTTGGCATTAATGCCCTTGGGTATAATTGTTCACGCCCTGGGAATGGCTAGTAATACTCATTTAAAACAAAGCCTTGGAGCATAGCTGTTGTCATATCCTCCATCTCTTTATCATTTTCACCGTCTCAGCCCTGGTTCCTGTCCTTATGTTTTCTGACTTTGATTCTCAGAAAAGATAAGGAAACTGAAGCTCAGAGAGAAGTGAGTAGTTAGTCATGTAGCTATTCAATGTCTGAATTGGGACCTAAACCTGGGTCTTTCTACTTTTAAGGCCCACACTGTTGACAGTGATTTATTTTGCCATTCTATTGTCTCTCATTTCACAAAACACATGCTTGGGCCAGGTTTAACTTCTTCTTGTCCCCTACTCCTAGCTTTTCCCCATTCCTCTGGTTTTGCTCACATGGTATCTCCAAGCAAGACATCTTCCTTATCTCCATGGTTGGATTTTACCTGTACATCAAGGGAAAGGGCTCTGGTGGCACCGTGGGTAAGTGCTTGGCTGCTAACCAAAAGGTTAGTGGTTTGAACCCACCAGTGGCTCCACAGGAAAAACACCTGGTGATCTGCTTCCGTAAAGATTCCAGCCTTGAAAAACTCAGGCAGTTATACTCTGTCTTACAGGGTCACTATGAGTCAAAATGGACTAGATGACACACAATAATAATAACGACCACATCAAGGAGCATTTCAGATGTGCCTTCTTTGATAAATGCTTCTTCACTTCATTTTATCTAATAGGTATCCCCTCCCCTTGCTTGAACCTCCCTAGCACTGTGCTAGGGGTTGGGGTCATAGGCATTCCATACTTATTTCTCTAACTGATCTATTTTGAGTTCAAGGATGATGTCTTATATATTTTTCTAGACGTTGGAAAACATAACACAGCCTCACAATTAGTAACCAAGAGTCATACGCCAAATGACCATGGGGACCAGGCAGGTAACGTAAATGAGCAAACAAAGCTAGTGAGGAGACACATTTTTGTTGAAACATGGGGCCTTTCTGGTCCATCTCTTGTTTTCTCATTTTTGTTTGAGACTCATTTGTTTACTGAGTGAAAGGCAACATGAGTGCAATGCCAAAGGGCAACTTACATTGAGCCACAGTGTTAGGAACACAGTGGAGAGTAATGAGAACTGAGGCAAATGGGGCTCTCAAAGGATAGTTTCAGCTTCAGCCACTTTAGCCAGGTGAGAATTTAGGCCTGCTATAGTGGCTAAAGCACTTGACTGCTAACCAGAAGGCTGGCGGTTCAAACCCACCAGCCACTCCTCGGAAGGAAGGTTGGGCAATCCTACTTCCGTAGTGATACTGCCTCGGAAACCCAAGGAGGGGTCGCTATGAGTCGGGGCCGACTCGACGGCACATAACAACAACAACAACAACAACTGCTTATTGGGAGCTCTGGTAGCATAGTGGCTAAGGCACTTGACTGCTAACCAGAAGGCTGGCGGTTCAAACCCACCAGCCACTCCTCGGAAGGAAGGTTGGGCAATCCTACTTCCGTAGTGATACTGCCTCGGAAACCCAAGGAGGGGTCGCTATGAGTCGGGGCCGACTCGACAGCAAACAACAACAACAACAACAACAACTGCTTGATGCATTAAATCCAACAACAACAACAACAACAACAACAGATGTATATTAAGGAGCTCTGGTAGCACAGTGACTAAGGCATCTGACTGCTAACCAGAAGGTTGGTGGTTCAAAACCACTTCATGGAAGCAAGTCTGGGCAATCTACTTCCTTAAAGATTTATTGCCTTGGAAACTCAATGGAGGTTGCTGTGAGTTAGGATCAACTTGATGCAGTGGGTTTGGGCTTTTTGGTTTGGATGTATATTAAGTCTTTTCAAGAAAAACTAAAAATTAAGGTTTTGTGTGAGATCATCTGATTTTTAACATTGGCAACTGATTATAAAACACTTTTAAGTGTTTTTGCTAGCCAAAACAAACAGACAAAAATCAATAAACTGACAGAGAAACAAATTTGCAGACTGTGTTTGTGAAGTTGCAATCCCAGATGCCCTTATTACGATGCTTGAGCAAGAAGTTCCCTTAGCCCTTTCATAACCTGTGGGATATATATTAACCACTAATGTTTCTAGCCTCTCAGGTTTGTTGGGAAGCTGCTATCCAGTTGTAGTATGTGCTGTCACCATGGCAGGGACCTGTACAACTGGGTGAATCTGAAGAAATAGCTCTTACCCCACAAGTCCTGCTACCAGAGTCCACTTGGGACATATGTGTCTCACTTAATGGTATCAAAATTCATTTCGCCTCCAAAAAATTTTTCTCCCTTGATTTCAACATGCTTTCCATTACTGAAAACAGATGGTATCAAAAATTAAAAGGAGATCATTCATGAAAGGGTTAAATCATCCAGCCTAGTGATATGCAAATGCCAGTTCCTGAAATAGCTGTATCAGAATTGCAGGAAAGTGTTAAAGAAATATAGATTCCAGGCCTCCAGAGCCTGGGATGTATGGAATCAGCATCTCTGGGTTAGGTCCTGGCCACCTGTGGTTTTTCAAAGCTCCCCAGGTACTACTGAGGTTCAGCCAGATTCACTCCCAGTAGGGAATTTCCTAACTTCCCTGAGGCTCTTTTTAAAAACACAGCTTCCCAGTCCTGTTTCCTGGAGATGCTGATTCAGTGGGTCTGGGAATTTGTTTTTAACAAATACCTCAGTGATTCTTATCCGGAAGTCTCTCAAACTCTGGTACTAGTGTCCTCCTGAAGCTCAGAAACAGAAAGATTTGCCCAAAGCCACACAGCAGATTACCCCAGTCCACCCAGCCTCCTGAAGCAGGCTTTTTTTTTTTTTTGTGATTTGGGTGAAAGTTTACAGAGCAAATTCACTTTCCATACAGTAGTTCACATACATGTTGTCTCGTGACATTGACTACAATTTACCACAATGCAACATCTCCCCCCCACCTCCTCCCCGACAGTCACCTCTTCCCTGTGTCCATCCCTCCGTACACCCCTGCCCCCTGAACTGTCTCCCTGTGCATAAACAACCCTTCTTTCTCCCATGATTGTTCTCTCCAAGGAATGTGTCTACCTCAGGTAAATGTTCAACTCCTATGCCTGTCATTTGTTTGGCTGGAAGCCACAGGTGTGGGTTCAATTCCAGACCTTAAGGGCAGCTGGGGGCCATAGTCTCAGTGGTTCCACCAGGCTCTATCAGACCAGCAAATCTGGGCCCCCTTTTTTATTTCCAAATGATTTTGAGTTTTGAAGTAGGCTTTTTTTAAAAAAAATTTTATTGTGATTTGGGTGAAAGTTTACAGAGCAAATTCACTTTCCATATAGCAGCTCACATACACTTTGTCTCATGACATTGACTACAATTTCCCACAATGCAATAGCTCTCCTTCCACTTCCTCCCCATAGTTACCTCTTCCCTGTGTCCCTCCCTCCCATGCATTCCTGCCCCCTAGCTGTCTCCCTGTGCATACACAGCCCTTCTATTCTCCCATGATCTGAAGCAGGCTTTTTGAGGTGCTTCTGACCATCTCTGTGCCCTGATGGCCATCAGTCTGCTAGGGCAATGGTGGGCAGTAGGAGGATGTCCTCAGTAAAGGGACTCACCACTGTTTATGCAGGACACTATGCATATGGTTTAGCAGGGTGCAGACTTGAGGCGGGTTGGGTTTCTGTAGTTTGGCCTGGATGAAGCCTTGGGCTGGGCCTTGACTTCCCTTCCTGCCTCGCCTGTCACAGAGAGAGCCCTGGTAGAAAATCTGCAGGGCACTCAGATATTCATGTGTCCTGAGGGTTTACTGTCATGAGTAGCCAGGGTCCTAGGAACTAGGCATACACCAGTCAGTCTGGGCAGGACTTGGGACTGAGAGAAACCACAGATTGGCCAGTTTCCTAACTGTGCTCATCAGAGTCTGGGAACTGCAGGAAGAGAGGGAGGGGGCAAGATCGTGGGCCCCAAGGTTCCCCTTGGGCCCCCCATAGCAGTGCTGCTTTGATACATGATGTATTTCTCTTTAAAACTTTTTTAATGATTTTTGTTGTTGTTGTCGTTGAGAATATACACAGCAGAACATACACCGATTAGCATAATTCAGCAATTCCTGCATGTACAATTCAGTGACATTGATTACATTCATCAAGTTCTGCAGCCATTCTCACCCTTCTTTTCTGAATCATTCCTTCCCTATTAACATAATAAGATGTATTTCTATTGAAAACTAGATCTAGTGGCCAAAGAAATGTGAAAACTTGATCTAGTTCAACTCTCTCACCTTAGCAATGGGAAAACTGAGCCCCAGCAAGAGACAGATTGCTGAATATTACTGATGAGATTGGAGCCATTTGGGAGACTTGGGTCCCAGCCCCAATTTTGCCACTCTCGCTGTGTAGTTTTACACTAGTCTTTCCATCTCTCTGAGCCTCTCTTTGCTTTCTCATTTAGGAAACAGTCTGGAGACCATACCACAGATGTCCTCAACTGCGGTCTGCCGGCCCAAGAGACGATGATGGAATTTGGGGGGGGTGGGTGTCCATGAACTTGGATAAGGAGCCCTGGCAGCATAACAGTTAAGCTCTTGGTGGCTAACTGAAAGGTTGGCAGGTTTGAACCCACCCAGCAGCTCTGTGGGACAAAAACCAGGCAGTCCACTCCTGCAAAGATTCGAAACCAAAAACAAATCTATTGCTGTGGAGTTGATTCAGACTCATAGCGACCCTATAGGACAAAGTAGAATGGTCCTATAGGCTGTAATCATTATGGAAGGAGACTGTCACATTTTTCTCCTACAGAGTGGCTGGTGGGTTTCAATTACCAACGT